GCTGCTTCTTTCCTCTCATTTCTTAATCTTTTTGTTTATTTATGTGTGCATGTATGTATTCATGCATGTATTATGTGTGTGTGTCTGTGTCTTTGTCTTTGTCTGTTTGTCTATGTCTATGATATAGAGAGACTTTTCTTATACCTCATTTTGTTGATACGATGATAGTCATGGAAAGATGAAGAAAACGAAAAATGCCGAAATCTCGGTACACCACCTTTGTAGGTGCAAAAGCTTTTTCAGACGCAATTTTAGTCCAGAATAAAAGTTTTATAGCTCATTTTGTAGCTGAATGATAAATCTAGTGCTTGTTCGAGATGGATTTTGCAATTTTTGCCTGGGCTTCATGTAAAAATGAGAAATGTGTTAAAAAACCTAAAAAAATTCACACACAAAAAAGAAAAAGTCGAAATCGAAAAAACTGTTTCGAACAAGCACTAGATCTAGGATGAATCTGTTCAAAAATCGCATCAGAATGCATGTGTATTTTTTTCCGGATTTTAAAAACTTTTTGCCATTTTGTCAATTTTCAAACTGAGAGCTTCGCATTTTTTCAGTTTTTTTACAATAATTCAAAAACCGTTTGGCCGATTTTGAAAGAAAATCGACCACAGGGATCAGGGGAGGGTCTAAAAGGGTGCGAGTTTCATAAAAATTGTCAAGAAAAATGGAAAAGCCCCCCCAAAAAAACAGACAGTCTCCTTAAGTTATGTATGAACTTTTATATATTAAACAGTATGTGTTCCACATGGATTCCTCCAGCGTTAATGCATATATTGCAACAGCGAATGAAGGAATTCTTCTTCATATTTGGAACATGCCAGGACTATCATATATTTGTGCACAGCTATTTCTAATTCACAGTAGCAGTTCAGCTCCACTTTTGGCTGGAGTTTCTATGTAAACCAGGTTCAAGTGACCCCACACAATCCACCCATCAGGGAAAAAATGATTCAGATAATCTGTTAGTAACAAAGTGCCAAGTGCAGTTCCATCGTGTATTAGCCATAGTTAACATGTTTGTTACGGCACGTCAGCCAAAAACAACGGTAATCTCATGTAAAAACTCCAAATGTGTTGCCACTGTAAGATGACAGTGTAAAATATGTGGCCCTTAGAAGTGGTCATCAAGTATCCCACACCAAATTTTAACTGGAAGCCTTTCCTGATATCCTTGGTTCCAGGTAACATGGGGATTATTCTCATTCCAGTAGTGTAAGTTGTGTGTTGAACATACTGTTGCAGGTGAAAGTACACTTTTCTGTAAACAATACATAATTTGGAAAATGCTTGTCATGTGTTACTTTATGCATAAGCTATTGATACAATTCAGGGCTATAGTGGTGAGTGCTTTTGTATATTGACTAGAGGTGTCAACCCTGTATGCCCGACATGTCCGACGACTGTCCAGGTCCAATGCTATCTCTGTGGGCTGATGGAAATCACCTGGAGAAATTGTATTACCAATGTTGAAGTCCTAAGGCGGGTGAGCATGCCAACTATTGAGCCATGATTACTCACTCACCACTCAGATTGACCGGATCTGTCAGCAGAATGTCCGAAGAACAGCTACCGAGAAATCTAATGTTTTCCGAACTGAAGAGGGCAGACCGTGACTGCATTTTAAGGACAATGTAAGCTATCATCAGCTGGAGAAACTTGCAATTGACTGGGCCAGATGGTACATAATAATGAGGGAGGGCACTAAAGGGGTACGCAGAGACTAGGAAAAAGAACAGAGATGCAGTTGAGACAACCCCCGAAAATAAACATTTTTGAACAAGAAACAACTTTTGAAAATTTGAGTGTTTTTCTGAATATTTTTCACAATTCTTCTATGTTAAACTTGAAACTGTAATTTTTTTTCTTTTGTTTTTGTGCACAGTATTAGTCCTAGTCTGTATAGACTGACTGACAGTAGCTTTACAGTATTGTGTGTGTGTGTGTGTTACTTGTGCATCTGGCAGTGCATCAGTAGTGTTGCTCATATATGGTCCCACTCAATATAACATATCCTGCCCAGAGGGTTTAATACCAAATCCATAGCCTGCTGCAGAAGGGTGAAACCCAAGCATGTATTACCCCTATTGAAGTTAGCTCCTAATGATTATCATTATCATAACAGTTGTTGTGATGTCTTGATTGGATATATCAAAGAATATTTGGTTATAAACAGTGAGTTTGCATAATACTGCATATATTGAAACCATTTTTTAGAATCTGGAGTTAATCTTAAAATGTGGGGAGAGGTCAACTTCCATTCAGGCTGTTAACCCACTAATATTAGCCAGTATATTTTGAAGCTGAAAATAATAGTTTCCGGGTGGCTTTAAAATCGGCACACGGGGCTGACCCGGACTCTGCCCACACGCTGGCCACGGCCCGCTGTGGAATCAGAGCGCGAGCTCCGATCCAGCGTCACACCAGCGGGTCGCCCAGCAATGTTTATTGTTCAGGGTTTCTCATATATGGGACACCCGTCGTAAGTGGGTTAAAATCCTGATATAGATTGCAATCTCCTTCTATAAAGAGAGTGAGGCCCAGATTTGCATTTATTAGTCTGTACCAATTTTAACACTGCGTGTAGATATTTTGACTAATGATTGGTTATTACCCACAGGTGACTCCTCTGTCTGAGGTATATGTGCGGCTGGCCACAAAGCATGTCGAACTGTATGGAGCCCAGCTGCGCATCCATGCAGTGTTCTCTGGTCTACGTTACCTTATGTACCACTACCCGCTCACAGCTGCTGCTTTAGGCATTGGTATCTGCATGGTGTTCCTGTCAGCAGTGGTTATATTCAGTTGGTATCAGTTCTCCGGCTCAGCAGGCAAGCAGGTAAGGGATCAAAACATTAATAGGAGCATCATCTTGGATCTAGCATGGAGGTGGTGTTACCATGTTGATGTTGGTGTTGTTTGTGGTGATTGTTTCTAGTCATGGTTTTTCAAGATGTTGCTATATTGATATTATCATTATCAGCATTCACATATATGTAATTTTTTTTCTCATATCACTTCCTTCAGAAGGCAATATTACTATTTTGCTAATATTATTATTGAATTTTCTGATGCAGTACCCTTGTATGCATGTGCCTGTAAAATCAATTCCTGTAAACAGAATCTTACTTTCCTTCTGTCTTTATTTCCATTCTTTTTCTCCCTTTACCAACTGTTTTTTCCCTAAGCTTGATGACCAAGTGCTTAATATCTCTCCAGCTGGGTGGCCCAAGGCAGGTAAACTTCCCTAATGGCCGTGCAACAGGCATTGGACCCGGAAGGTCTGCAGGGGCTGGTGTGCAACCCATGGATGCTCTCCCCAAGGTGGTTCCTGCAGCAGCCAGAAATGCAGGTGCGTAGTGAAGGTCTCGGTTGTGGATGTTGCCGATCAGGGTTGTGGTGTGTAAGTGTATCTGTCTGTGTGAATATGCCTTTATATATGTACTGGATTTTTGGATGTTTGTAAATGTTTGTACTAATGGGTTTTTGTGGACAAGTGATCATACATATGTTAATTTCCATAGCCTAGTATTTGTTTCCAGAGGCTACTCACCATATAAGAAATTTTAATTTTTTTTATATCCGTCATAGGACTTGAGATCCCCCCCAAAGCGAAAGAAGAGCCCCTAAATGAGGAAGCCCCGAAGGAGGTGGGAAAGGATGAAAAAGGTGATTTAGAAGGTGGGGCTGCACTACCAGTGGAGCACGAGACAGGGGAGGTAAGCCCATGTGAAAGATAGGTGCTGCCATTTAGATAATCTTTATAACATTATTTTTGCTATCTTTATAAGGATAATGATTGTGATAATTGTTATTGTTATCAGTAGTAGTAGTAGTAATAGTACTCATAGTATTCATATTTTATTCATTACCATTTTAATCATTATTACTACTATTATTACCTCTACTACTACAATAGTGGTTGATTATATTGTGAACATTAAAAGAAAGTTACCAAAAATGAAAGCCATATTTTGTTGTTGTTGTTGTTGTTGTTGTTAATCCCTTGAATCAGGTTGCTTGACAGCAATCACACTGACCAAAGTACAGGCATAAGGCTTACGAAAGGGGGCGCTTTGCCATTTGTGCGGTGTGTTGGCAAACACTCATATGCAGTGACAGTATTCTATGCCTTCTCTTTGTAAAGTTGTTTTGTTAATTTTTTTTAGGTTTTATGCTATTTTCCAATGCCCATATTTGTCTTTAGATTTAGATTTGCAGTAATTGTAATAAACTGGAGCTATTTTAGTCATGGCTTATGTACATTATATTCTAAACTTGTTTATTGATGGGAATAATGTTTTTTTGCACTAGTGGTGAGCTTTTTCTGTCACTCTGGCCTTTGCTCATGACAAGTTCTTGTCACCCTGCCTAATGCCATGTTTACCCATGACAGAATGTTCATGTCATGTGGCCCTCAAGCCAAATTTGTTCATGACATAATGGTCACTTTATCCAGAGCGAAGGGGTTAATCAGATGTTACCAGATGTCTCCTCTTTGTATAAATAATATGATAGTGCTATTTTCTTTACACCTAGGATTGGGTATCATTTGAAATAAAGTATTTGATGGTAATTAAGTGTTCTGTTTAAGTTTCTTGCACACTTTCAAATGATGTTTGGTGTTTTTGATCTTGCTTTAACCAGGTGGATCTGGATGTCAAACTGCCAACAAACAGGGCATGAGATTTACTTGAGTGGCAGTTCTCACAAGTGCTTATAGGCCTGGCCCAAGAGAGCACGTCTTGTCTTGTACACATATCTCATTTACTGATGAAAATAATGCAAGAGCCCCATCCCTAATGCCCACTTAGTCTTATTACCCTTCATGTAGAGTCATTGCTGTCACCCCAGCTTTCAGCCAAAATTTTCCACGATGGCATAACCCTATCAGCTGGCCCTCAGCCAAATATTTTATTAACCATGGGTGTGAAAGTGGAAAGAATGCAACAGTTTATTACCAGTGAAACTGTGAAAAAGTCAAGGTAGATTATTTGTTATTGATGATGATGTCATGAAGAAAAGCACAGTGCATGATTTCTCATTGTTTGTAATTGTAATTCAGTAACTGGAAAGATTCAAGGTTTGATATTTTACACTCGTTTCCTTGGTGCAGAGGCAGATCTGTAGATGTTCGTTTGCCAAGATGTAAGGCCTAATTCATCTGTCCATAAACATATTCTCCTTCACTTTATCCCTCTCTCTATTGCAAACTGATGAACAACTCTTCACACATTGCCACGTTTAGTCTGGTGTTCTGTTGTTGTTGTTTCAAGTTGTTTACAAATTATCAAAACTTCCATAGATGTCTCGGGGCCATGGAGGAAGGCTGCACACAATATTGTGGTTGAGGATTAAAAGACTTTTTAAAAATTCTCCTTCTTGGATGTCACATTTCCCTCCTTTCTTCTCTTGCCTTCAAGCATTTACAGCCAGTTGTATCTTAATTAATTGTCCAACTCAAGCTACACGCTTGCTGAATATATACCATATATGAGGATTTTTTCTTCTTTTAAAAGTCTAAAGTACTAAATTTCTTTATATATTCTTTGTTTTGAATAATGTCATACCCTCCTTGACCTTAAAATTCCTATGGCAGGAGTATAATGATTTCTCTCTCTCTCTCCTCTCCTCTCCTCTCCCCATCCCCATCCCCATCCCCATCCCCATCCCCCTTCCTCTACCTTCCTTCCTTCTTTCCTACTTTCCTTCCATCCTTTTTTTCTACTTTCCTCCATCTCCTCCCTCTCTTTTTCTGTCTCCTTTTCTTCCCGTTTCCTCCCTCACAATAGAAAAAAAATAAATTGATAACTAAATCAGATAGTTGAATTCAGGACCCATTTTCTATTGTCTTTTCAGAACGACGGCCCAGGGCATCAAGGGTCTGAGGCCGAGGGACGAGACAGTGACGAGTTTGAGGTTGTTTGCCCTTCAAAGAATCCAGGTAAGGGAATGGGAAATGAGGTAGGAATGTATATATGATGGAGGGGTTGTTATTCTAGTTGTAAAATTGTTTTTGTGAGTATAGAAATGATTAGAGACTGTGACAGAGGAATAAAAAGAAAAGTACTTAAAGAAAAATTGGGTAAGTTCAAATTTACATAACAGAATAGAATTATAGAGAAGTTTGCAAGCAGATAGGTATATACATAGAGAGGTTTTGATAGGTAGAAAAAAAGTATTTAAGACTGGTTATGCAGTTTTGTTGATAGGTAAATAGACTGATAAGAAGTTGAAGTTATGAAGAACCCATAAATATGTTTATGTACTTGTTTCCTCATTTGATCTGTCTTGGATTATACATTATGGCTTAAGATATTAATCTGTGTCAAATTCAGTATCACTCTCCAGGATAGTGTCTCCTGAGGAGTTTACAGTGTTTTTTTATTTTTGAAGTGAAGTATAGACATCTTGACTCTAGATGAAAAGTAACAGATTTTACAAACCTCCTATCTCTATTTACCTAATGCGCAAATTTTTATTGCTTCTTCAAATTTCCATTGTTTTTTCTCTCTCATCTTAATTTTTTTCTTAGATTTTTTTTTTTTTTTTTCAAAGAAAATATATGTTTTGTGTTAACAAAAGATGGACATTATTAACACTATATGCTGGAGGTTATTACTGTATCCTTTCCTTTTTTTCCCCTCTTTTGACATTACGAAAGGCATGCTCCAGAGTAATAATAAGTTTCATTCATGTCTCTTTTGCAATGAGCAAAGACATGGGATTAGAACTCACAAGGAAGGAAATACAGCTGGCTGTGTGCACAAAGGATGAACAATAAGGAACATCCAGATTATCTGCATTACAAATATTGATGTTAGATATTGAGATGAAAGAACTGTGTATTACGGTATACAAAAAAAAATTACTTTTCCCAGTCTGAACTTCATCAACCTATTGGGGATAATAAATGCAGAACTTTAATTGTTTCCTTTCTTTTTCACTTTTGCAGTTAATGAAGAGACTAAAAGAAAGCTATCAAGTGCATGTGATGAGGATACCGTCCTTCGGCAACGAATCCAGCCTGTCGATGCTGAACCTTAGGGGGAACCTTCAGGACAGTAGCAAGAGACTAATCTTTCCTAGTGTATGCTGGAGATCAAGCCTCATAGTTTTATTTTTGCAATGATAAGAAAATAGAAAAGATTGTAGTTTTGTTATCTTCGAAAATATTGTTCCTGTGTGTTTTTTGTCTTTTGTGTGGGCCAAAGCAACTGTTTTTTTGTTTGTTGGTGAAATTATTGTTTTATTTGTTATTAGTATAGGGAGACAGGAAATTGGAAAATATTTAATGATACACAGAATGTATACGTGTGTATGAGATTAGAGTCAAATATCATGGCAATTTTAGGACCAAATGGTACTTCAGTTACTGTCATTGATGAAATAATACTAAGAAGGTTATGGTATTTTAAGCAAACTGTAAGTCTTGACCTGATGTTGCTCAGAGTTGCAAGTTCTTTCCAAACAAACCAGCAGTATTATAGAGGTAGCCCATCAGTCCTTCCATTTCCACTCCAGAACTCGCTCTTTCTTCTCTCCCTCTTTCTCCTTTCTCCAGCTGCTTCCCTCGCCCTCCCCCTCTCTTATGGCTCCTCTCTGTCTCTCCCTTCTCCCCACCTTACCCCTCTCCCTCTTTCCCTCTCACTATGTCTCTCTCACAATTTTCAAAGTTTTTTTATCTTGTGTTCATTCATTCATTCACCAAGTAGAAGTCATATAGATCACCCTTGTAAAAGCAAGTTTATAGAAAGCCAGATTTCATTATTGCAGTGTTGCCTTGTTTGTAGTTGCATGTTCTGTTGTAGTTTTGGTATATTGTGTTTGTAGTTGCATTTTCTGTTGTAGTTTTGGTATGTTGTGCTTGTGCATTGAATCACTCAGGTGCTTTTATCGTAAACTTCTATAGGTAATATGTAAAGTATCCCATTCATTTGCATGTGTGTTTTGTTAATGTGCACTGTGGAAAGAAGGGGTTCTCTGTTTGGGATAAATTATGGATAACTTAGGTGTATTTACATTTTGGGGAGAGAGAGTAGGTTAGTGTGTGTGTGTGTGTGTGTATGTGTGTGTGTGTGTGTGTGTGTGTGTGTGTCTGTGTGTGTGTGTCTGTGTCTGTGTCTGTGTCTGTGTCTGTGTCTGTGTGTGTCTGTGTCTGTGTACGCACATGTGCTTGCACACTTGTGTAAGTGTACATGTTTATGTATTGGGGAACTCATAGGATTATCTTGCATTTCTTTGGAATTTTCTGTGATAAATAACCAATGAAGAAGAGTATCATCATATATATATTTGCATATATTATGTATGTGTACATACAAATGAACATGCATACATCCATCATACCTGCATTCATACACACATACATATATACATACATATATACATTTTTACATACATACATATTAAGATATTGAAGAACTGAATACTCCTGAAAGTGAGAACAAAAATCCAAAGATTTTAGAGTAGAGAAATGAATATTTGAGTACAAGATGAAACATTCCACAGAAATTTAGGTATTTTGATTTTGTAAGAGTGTAAAATGATAGATATATATCTAGTTTGTAACGTGCCTTAATTGTATCATGCGGTATGTAGTATTTTATTTTGTAATTGTATTAGTTATGTTTTATTCATACATGGTTATGTCATTGAGCTTATATGTTACGAAATTGTTATTAGAGAACTTACAAAGCATATGTGTAATTTACGTTTTTATGTGATCAGGTTATGCAGATCTTGAAATTTGGTGATTGTCCTCTGTAGATTTCGAAAAAAGATGAAATTAACAAAAAATATATATATATATGTTTTTCTTCTATGCAATGAAATTTCATATCAATGTTCATATATGACTATTGATTAATTCCTTTGTGTGCGTGTGTGCGTGTGCGTGTGCGTGTGTGCGTGCGTGTCCATTCGTATTGAGTAATACCCCACATTGACAGTGACTAATGATACTAGATACACGAAAATAAAATTAATGATGTAAAAAAAATCATTTAAACTTAAGTAATGATACAAAATTCATGCATTTGAATATCATTTGTATATAGAGAGAAACGATGATAATGAAATCGTTTTAAAAATCACATGAATCGGAATACACACACATGAATGAGTGATAATACAATGAAATCGTTTTAAAAATCACATGAATAATGATAATACATGAGTGATAACAATACAAGAACAAACTGTTGGTTAGTAAATTAGTATTTAGTATTTCGAAAAATTATAAATTGCAACTGATGGAAATAAGGTGGAAAGAAAGAGTAAGTAATTATAAATGATTGTAAGAAAGGGAATAGGAAAAATACCTCCCCCCCCATTCCCTTGCTCGTTGACGTGGGGGAGAGGGGAAGGGGGCCTAGGAGACGGAGACTGAGGCCCACCTCTACTAATTTTGCAAGGCATTTTCCTCTCCACCTTTTCCTTTTCCTCTCCACCTTTTCCTTTTCCTCTCCACCTTTTCCTTTCCTCTCCCCTTTTCCTTTTTCTCTCCACCTTTTCCTTTTCCTTCTCCCCAACTTCTATCCGAATCCTAAAGTGTGAGAACCTTGCTGAAAGGATGAAAGGCTGCTTGGCGTCAGTCTTGAACGGCCTTCGTACTCCGTTTGCTCTTCCCTCTTTGCCCTTTTCACCAACATACTAACGACGCTCTCTACTGCCTTTATTTATATTTATTTTCATAATTGATAATTCATTTGTTCTACTCTTGGCCGCAGCATTTCGTCATAATGCAGTATGAAAATTTCTTACCTGGGGGCTCCGTTCTCAAGCCTCGCTATAGTTCGTATATCCTGGTAATGATCTTGGATGTTGACGCGGCAGAAAATTTTCAATAAATGGATGGAAAAAGTAAGTAATGAAGCAGGAGTGGAATGCAAAGAGAAAGCGGAGGCGGAAGGGGACGGAGCAAGAGGAAATGAGAAAGTGAGAGGGAAAGAGAAAGGGCATATTTAAACGTTTGAAGGATGTCCGCTATTTAAGATAA